GAGCGCTGACTCACCCGCCACGTCACTGCTGGTGGGGGGGGGGGTTCTCCGTTGCGCAACATGTCACAATATCTTCTGCCTCCATATCCCTGAAGGTGGACATGAATCTAGCACACAGTACCAACTTTTCAGGAATATCCTCTACCTCCATATCCCTGATGATGGAGGCAGTATGCTCCTCTCGAATGTCAGTAAACCCATACCAGACTCCATGGTGTAACATCCCACAGGACATTAATCCTGATGTGAGATTTGAGGTTACTGCTGCACTGACTATGAGGACTACTCTCTTCTCGGATACGATGGCATGTAGTCTGGTGTACATTTACCAACAGTTTGCAGGAACAAGCTGTTTCTTTCTTCAGGGTAGAAGACTATGGAGGAAACATATTCATCCAACCAGATTACACACTCAGACAGCCAGGAAACAGTAATTTTTCATAGTCACTGGAGTGAGAACCTCCAATTTCTTAACATAAAATGATTCTTGGTAACAGCGTTGGTCAAGAGACCATGCTTCAGTACATACCTGCGGTTGCCTATGTGCGTAAGTTGCAATGTGAACATATGATGGTCGTCCTGAGAGTGCATTCTGCTCAGGAGCAACTGTACCAAGTTGTGACTGCACCAGGAAAGGTGGATAAAACTGATAACGATGGTTGTGTGGTGTGCAGTGGCCAAAGTGACGGACCTGCAAGGTAAGTCCAACAATCACCCAAAGTTACAAAAAAATACATGTTCAAATACATGACTGTCAATTTACAATGCAAACTTTTATTTAAAAAGCTAATTCTTGCCATTCTGTTTCATAGATTATGCTCAGGTTGGCGGTAGCTAAGAAAACAGTGAAATCTCAATTTNGGACACCAGTGAATTTGAACATCAAACTGATGAAAACCTTAAATTGAGATGATTTGAGTTTACTAGCTTAGGGGACATTAAAACTGAACATTAAACGAGGGAAATCCTGCAACAGAGGAATATTATATGTGGGTTCCATTACTGCAGCATAATATTAGAGCAGTGAAAACTAATATTTCTCTGATGGGCTATGTGGTGGATGGCTGAAGAAAGCAGGTTTGATTCCTAGCAGAATGAAGAGACTTTTCTCTCCTTCACAGTCCTGATCAGCTCCAGGGTCCACTCAACCTCCTAACAATTGGACACCGGATGCTCTGCCCCATCATTACAATGGCCAGCATAAAATGCTTATCACCTACGTCCATCTGGTGCCTAGGTTAAGAATAAGTCTTCATAGACTCTTGCTTAGTTAACTGAGCCCAAGAATAACTTGAAGAGTGTTGATCTACAGAAAAGGTAAAAAGGTTAAGTTGTCCCTGTGCTTAACTGCACTATGCCATGAAGACATATGGGGGAATGGATGTATAAAACCACGTCTTCTTGACCTTGCCTCTAGTTGGAGGTGAGTGGTCTGCTTTACACCTTGGGGAAAGAGCTCCTGGTACCCACTGGGTAGGAGGCCAGGCAAGTCCCAGGGCTGGTCTGGACGACATGGAGAAACAAAATTTCTTGCTCCCACAGGGACTTACCTGGTGGGTAGGTGCAAACCGTGGGCCAGCATACATGTCCGAGGCAGTGCTGGTGCGGGCAGAATTCACTGCTGATGAGTACCGTGGGGAAGACGGGACTAAGTGCAGTGGCAGGGCATGATGGTGTTGGTGGCAACATGTCACCCCTGTTGGTGAGCTCTGCAGGAACCCTGCTGGGTGGTTAGAATGTCTCACAGCATAAGCATTTTCAGTCCACACTGGACCACATTCATGATAGCACAATGGTCTCAGTGGAACGCTGAAACAAAGTGAAAAAATTCAGTTTCCTAGTATTATGTGAATCAAAGAATTAAACACAATAATCTTTTTGTCATGTCCTTCGGCCTAATTTCTGCTGTACGCAGATCTATGTGCATGATATCTCCAATCTCTACCCCTTCTTCCCACATTTCCCTTTTGATAACTTGCCAGTTAGATCTTCTCGTCTTACTGCCTATTAGTATCCACCCAACTGGGTGACTCTCACATTCAGAAAATTATTCTAAAGCCCTTCTCAACATCCTTGCTCTAGCCACACTATTATTCNCGACTGCTTTATCCCCCGCGGGAGTAACCCCTGGTACCCACTGGATAGGAGGTTAGGTGGGCCTCAGAACTCGAGGAGAGAAATCTTCTCTGCCAGGAATTGAACCTTGGCCATCTAGCCTGTAGCATGTTGCTATACTGACTGAGCTATCTCATGAAACAAAATTACATTTCTTCAAATTTTAGTAAGGAATCACATTATGAATATTTATCAAAATCTATTCACTGTGACCAGTTGTCTCTGTGTACTGGCATACTCGAACAGCATTAGGGTGCAGTACTTCCATACAGAAATTGCTGTTTGATTTGAAAAAGCAACATAATTTCCTCTTTTCATCTACACATCTGTAAGTAAATGAATGGTAAAATGTTTTGCAACAACTCCTGACATGATAATGGTGGAGGTACTGTGAGCAACCTATTTTAGTCATGTTAAGCATACTACTGTAAGGGTACTGTTATTTTCTTGTAACAGTTACTTGAGCCATAATTTGCAGCATATGTTTCACCCTCCAATTACAAACTGGTTTCATGTATGTTAGATTTGAGGTTCACACAGCAGCAACTGTGATGCTGCATAGTCTGGTAGAAGTTAGCTGATATTTTGTAGGAACTTACTGCCTGCATCTTCAGGGTCAGAGAGTAAGCCAAGCAAGAGGCATAGTTGTGCACTCCTTGCAGCTTGTTTAGCTTACTTTTCAGCTCTGAAGGTGGACACTGTATGTCTCTCAGAAATGTCGATAAACTACCAGACTTCACTACAGACACACCCCCATGTCCCAGAAGATTTCATGTCTTGTGAAGACATGTAGATTATTGTATTATCTATGGCTTTCTCCGTATTGTTAATAATCTGCAAATTCTGAGCTGCAAAGTAGATTTTTAAAGTAAAAGTACTTTCATTTTGTGGTTAGCATTGTGTTCACAGTAACTGTGCTGTCAAAAGGTGTCGTACTGTTCTATTTTTAGCATGTTGCAG